CCTCCAAAGTTGTTGGCCAGGAGTACAGTAGGAACATGGCAAGCACATGCTTGCATTTTGCTCATTTTTCCTCCGCAGGGGACCCTGGTTTACCTTTTCATCCTGTAGGACATTAGACCCAGGAGTACGGATTAGATAGCTTTGCCTGTACTTTGGTGTTGAAAGGACTTCTTGGAGCCAGAAGTCTTGATGCCTCTGGTGTGTAAGCTGCCAGCAACAAAAACAGTGAAATCGGACAAGTATAAAGTACTCCGTATATACTAGGCCCTGGTCTGGGTGTGCCCTGTGCATTCACTCACTCAGTGGTCTAGGAGGTGGTCTCTGATGAAGCGCTTAAGGCAGACAGGTGAGTAGTTAGGGATAGGCCTATCTTGTTCTTCCACTCTTTCTTCCCAGGTAGCCCCTTAACTTGAAAGGAGACTCCAGGCAGAAGACCAGAGCCTTGTGGAAAAAATTAATTTAGGACTCTAATGGATTTACACATGAAATTAAACATTACATCCTAAGGACTCTAAACATCAAAGACAACAAGCCAGATGTGGTGGCGCATGCCTGTAATCCCAGTGTCTCAGGAGGCTGAGGCAGGAGGATCACAAGTTCAAAGCCAGCCTCAGCAAAAGTGAGGCACTAAGCAACTCAGTGAGACCCTGTCTCTAAATAAAATACAAAATAGGGTTGGGGTGTGGATCAGTGGTCGAGTGCCCCTGAGTTCAATCCCTGATACTGCCCCCCCGCCCCCCAAAAAGAGACAATAGGTGGCACCTACATACACACCAGGTGATAGGATTTCACGAGGGCGTGTGGTACCTATGTTAGAGAGTGGCAGGATGACTGCAGTTCTGACAGGTGTGTGGGGCTGGGAGGGATTCCCTGAGCTCCTTTCCATTTTCCATTCTCATTTTGGTAGTGATCTAACAAGAAATGGGAAAAAATCCTCCTCTGGCTTCCTGGTTGATGGTGTTGGCTGGGGCTGCCCCTGGAGAAGGAGCAAGAGGGCTGGGGTTTGGTCACTCAAGTATCACCGAGAAATGCCTTCAGAACTAGCAGTGGGCTGTAGCGGCAGGTTTGTAACAGGGGTGAGCAGGATTTAGCAGGTGGCACTGCCATGAGCCAGTGGACTTGGAGTTGAGTCCCTCTTTGACATTTCCCGTGGTCTAGCTCTGGGTCATTTCCTGTCTGGGCCTTGGTGCTCTCTGTTGAATGGAGCCCCTGTACCTTCTGTTAAGGGTTGAATAAGCCAGTCCTTTACCGACTTACCGTAGCCGGGGCTCAGTAGTGGGCATCAGCTCGCTGCTCCTTTTGGGTGGCTGTAGTGCTTAAAGCTGGAGGATTCTTCTGGCCTGGGCATGTATGGGGGTGCATTCTCTGCCTGTCACTGGGGTAAGGTAAGAAAGAGGACATTGATTTCTCTATCCTCCTGTCTTCACAGGGTCACTGGGTTTGCAGACTGTAGAGCTGACTAGGAGGGCATGATCTTATGCAGAAACCAGTACCCAGGGAAGGGAAGTGATTGTCCCTGTCACATGAATACCATGGAGCTTGGCTTGGATGAGTACTCATGTCTTATGACTTCCCACTCAGCGCTCCTCCCAAGATTCCTCATAGCCAGGGGCCTCTCTGGGCACTTCACCATTGATAAGTGTCCTCGAGGTCACCTGTGCACCCTGTGTCCTATGAGACTCCCTTCTTACAACCCCTCTTCAGGGCTAAGATGGCCACAGGTGTCCTAAGATCAGGATTGTCTCATTTGAGTGCTTCCTGCTTGCAGAAGAGATCACAGCTGGGGAAGTGAACCTCTGGATTGAGACCTGTATAATCTCAGGTTGCTTTTCTGTAGAATATCGGCTGCCTCCCAACCCCCATGATGAAGAGAGATTTTGCAAAGTAAGGCCCAGGAGGCTGCTGACATGTCACTTAGAACAAGCAGGGCAGCAAAGTACCCTAGGAGATATCTAGGATTATTGTGTATATCAAGAGGTATATGTGCTAAAATCCTTCTGTTCAAGTGTAGGTCAGGAGCCAACCAACATCACCTGGAATCCTGTGAGAAATGTAGAATCTCAGACCCCACTGTTCACCTTCTGAATCAAAACGTGCCTTTTTTTAAAAAAAAGTATTTTTATTTTATTTATTTATTAATTTTTTATGTGGTGCTGACGATTGAACCCAGTACTAGGTGAGTGCTCTTCCACTAAGCCACAACCTCAGCCCGAGAACCTGCCTTTTAACAAGATGCCCTGGAGATGCATGTGCATGTTAGTTTGAGAAGCACTGTGTTAGAATATGTCAGTAGTGAGGTGATGGAGATTATTTTCCTTGTATATTTTTTTCTGATTTGTTTTTATTGCATTTTTCACATAAATTACTTTTATAATGTGAAAAATAGCAAAGGCATTTCCAGGAGCAAAACTCTGTCAAGTTTCCCATTGGCATTGCCCAAGGGCAGGTAGTTGTTGGGTCTAGTACTTGGAAAAAGAAAAGCAGAAGGCCCAACTTCTGTATTCTGATGTTAAAAAGGAGGGAAGTGCAAGGGACAGGGTGTATCTTATTTTATTTTTGTACTAGAGATTAAATCCAGGGGCACTTAACCACTGAGCCACATCCCCAGTCCTTTTTATTTTTTTATTTTGAGTCAGGGTCTTGCTAAGTTGCTAGTTTGGCTTTGAATTTGCAATCCTCTTGCCTCAGCCTCCTGAGCTGCTGGGATTATAGGTGTGCACTACTGTGCCTGGTAGGAGCAGGATTTATTGGTAGACACAGGTGTCAAGGGAGGTGTTGGAGGGTCTTGGGCAGGTAGGTCTGTACCCATCCTGAATGACGATGGCCATTCTCTTCTGTTGGGAATGTTTTCCTTGTTAAGACCCTCTTCTTACTGGGCAGTGGTGGCACACACCTGTAATCCCCGCGGCTTGGGAGGACCATAAATTCAAAGCCAGCCTCAGCAACAGTAAGACATTAAGCAGCTCAGTGAGACTCTGTCTCTAAGTAAAATACAAAATAGGGCTGTGGATGTGGCTCAGTGGCCAAGTGCACCTGAGTTCAATCCCCAGTAACCCTCCCACCAAAAAAAAAAAAAAAAAAAGAATGTGGTAGCATCTGATGTATTGGTTGTTTTACTGTGTGTCCTGGAATATCAACTTCCTGTTTTCCTCTCCAGGCTTGGAATAAGGCAAGAGCCTTGGTGTGGTGGTCCTCACACAGGCTGTAAAGGGGCAGTCTTGTGTTAGGATCACATCAATTAGTGTTCAAGTTGGAGCAAATCTAAACCTTTACCCTTGTCCACGGACGCCCTGTGACTGGCCCCTGCCTGCCTGTCTGATGGTTCCTTTCTTTTTTGCTCAAGTCATGGCAGACTTCCTTCTAGTCCTGGAAGACTAGGGCCCCCAGCTGTTTGCTATGCCTGGATTTTTTGCCCTTCTGTTTTTTTTCCAAGGCTGCTCCTCCTCTTTGTAGAGGGCTCAGCTCAAATGCCGTCTGTGTAAAGAGGCCCCTATGGCTGCACTGCCTAAGTGGCCCTCTTCCTTCCTATCTCACCCCTCTGTTTGGTTTTTCTTTATGGCCTGGCTTTCTAACATCACTTGCTGGTAGATTTTAGCTCCGTGGGAAAGTGGCACACTCCTGTGTCCTTGCCGCTTAGAGCATTGCTTGCCACACATTTAAAAGTTAAATGCATCCTAAGTAGATCCACTGATCAGTGCACATCATTGTTTGATGCCTCTGAGCTTGTTTCCCTGTGCATCTGTGGTGTCACGGCTGCCAGGGGGATTTCGAAGGTTAAAGGAGGCGCTGCATGCAGAGTGCTCAGCTTGTGCCTGTCATGCGGGAGTGTCCAACACATGGTGGCAGTTGTTATCAACTGATTGGCCTTTACTTGATGTGCAGGAATCAGGGACCATCTCTGAGACAGTGCTCCTCTCAGGTGCAGTCCACATAGAGTTGCCCAAGACAGAAGCAGCTTGATAGCAATTCAACACTTGTGGTGTGGAGCATCTTTGAAAGACTGTGCTCTGGGCCTGCATCATAACCTGCAGCCTTGTCTCTGTTGATTGGAGTCATTGTGCTTCTTATGGAACTTGGGTTTTAGAGTATCAGTGACCCACCTGGTACTTTGGTGCCTCAGACCTTCTTAAACAGAAGTTTGGTGTATGTCATATATTTCATTTGGGAATGTTTTTGGCTGCAAGTAACAGCCCAATGTGTAGTGGCTCGAACAAATGAGGGTTTTTATTTGCTGAGAGTTACATCATTTCTGGTATTGGTTTAGCAATAATATCCAGTTTTGTGCCTTTGTAATTCTTTTGACCTTTCCCTGAAGCACTTGGCTTCATAATGGCAAGATACTGCTATGGCTCCACCCCGCTTGTTTACAACTAAGGCAAGGCATGTGAGTGGAGGAAGGCATGATGCCCTGCATATCTGTTCTCTGTATAAAAAGGTGTAACTTTCCCAGTACTCCTCTTATTACTTCTCATTGGCCAGACTTCTTAAGGTCAGCCTTGCTGCTGAGAAGAGGAATTATTAGGGTTTTAGTGTTGGTTGCTGCAGGTGATGTGGGGAAAGGATGCTGGAGGTAATGGTGAGATCAGCCAGCAAGCAGGTTCTCCCAACCTAGTAAACTCATCTTTGATGTTAGAATGTGGGTTGTCAACTGCAGTCAGTTTTTCTTCCCAGAAGATAATGGCAATATTTTGAGACATTTTTATTGTCACAGCCCAGGGCTATGTGTGTGCTGATGGTATCTAGTGGGTGGGTAGAGGCCAGCGATGCAGATAAACCTTCTATAGTGTCTGTAGTGCAAGGTTGGAAACCCTTAGCTAGACCATTGTGGACATGTTCCTCAAATTTGGGGAACATGTATCTCCAGCCCTTTTTATTTTAATTAGGCTAACTGTTTACTTGTGGTGCAGAAACAGGCAAATGGCCCAACTTCATTGTAATAATGTAGATTCCTGGTACCTTGTCTTGCTATTGATTTTGTTAAATATCAGCAAAGGACTGATCCTAGTTGGGGACAGCCACACACTGTAATGTCAGAGGATTTATTAGAAGGCCAATATCAAACAGAACTAATTAAACCTCATTGCATTTTAGGATCACAGAACAATGACAAAAGACAGTTTCTGCTGGAGAGACTGCTGGATGCAGTAAAACAGGTAAGAAGAACACACATGCTTGGCGTTTGGGCTGAGCAAGGGTGTCAGGTAATGACCGTAGAAGTCACTTCTTGCCTTTTGTATAAAAGACTACTTGTGTGTGGGAATGCTGAAGAGTTTCCCTCGGGAAATGGTAGAACAGGGAAGGTGGTCCAATTAGGGATGGAGGAGGTCTTGTGTCTTCAGTTTCCAAACCCTCAGGAGGACTTGGTTCTTCAGTGATGTCCCTTTGAGAAGGGCATTGGTGAAAGGACATGGCCTGGGGCTCAGATGTGGCTGGGGTCGAATGCCAGCTTCCTCTCTTTGTAGCTGTTTGTGCAGGGGCAGCTCATCTGCCCTCTCTCAGCATCCTTCTTCTCCCTCGGATCTGGTTCACTTTTCTCCACAGGGTGCCTGAGCAGCGAGTTGCCATGTCTTGCTAAGTTCCCCAGGTTGTCCTCACACTTAACATACCTCTGCCTCAGCCTCCTGAGTGGGATTTCAGGCATGCACCACTGCATCTAGCAAATTATATGAATTTTTGATCAGAAGTTTAGGAATCTTTCAAGTCTGTTATCTACAGCAGAGATTCTCACCTTTAAAAGAGAGTAGTGGATAGTGGTGATGGTCATGTACAACATTGTGAATTGAATTTTATACTTAAAATGGTAAGTTTGATGTTATCTTTATTTTACTACAATAATTAAAAAAAAAGCTAATTTGGTTTTGTTTGTACTCTCTCTGGAAAGACTGTCATTCAGTACAACCCAATGACTTGTTCAAAGCTTGATCCACACAGTCATCATTTTACAGTCAGTCATAACAACTAGGGCTCTGTCAAAGAGGAGCCGTCCCTCAGGTCTGTGGGAGTCTTACTCGCCGCCTGTTGAGAGCTCCTGGTGTGGTTGGTGGGCAGCAGGCAGCCGGGGCAGCATCCCTGAGGTCTGCTCTGTTTCCTGTCAGTGTGTTTTCCCACGAGGTTGGCTTCCCCAAGTGGGTGCTGAGGCTTCCTTTAAGTGGCAGAGATGTTTACCTTCTTAACTCTGTGCTGTCACCAGGGCATAGGGACCTCCAGATGCGGCATTGGGAATTTATGGCCCCGTGTCCTGCTCCTGACCTTGAAGTTCTGTGTGGGCTGTTTTGTGATGTTTGGAGCATCCTGTGCCCACAGCTGATCTCAGCAGTTTCTTTTTCCATGCAGTGCCAGATCCGCTTTGGAGGGAGAAAGGAGATCGCCTCCGATTCCGACAGCAGGTAAATATGTCCCTCCTGAAACCACTTACAGTCAAGAAAAGGTAGCAAGAGATGGCCAGCTTTTGCAGTTGTCTAAAACATTTCACTTTCGCATAATTCTCCTTCTAGGGATTTTTTACTTTTTTCTTCTATTTTTTTTTTTTTTTTTTTGAGCTACTAGAGATGAACCCAGGACCTGGCACTGTATACGTGCTAGGCAAGTGTTCAACTGCTGACCTGTGTATCTCCAGCCCTTTTGATTTTAATTTTTTTTCTTTTAAATTGATACCAGGGATTGAACCCAGGACGCTTAAACACTGAGCCACATCCCAGCCCTTTTAATTTTTTATTTTGAGATAAGGTTCTTACTAAGTGGCTTAGGGCCTCACTAAGTTGCCGAGACTAGCTTTGAATTAATAATCCTCCTGCCTCAGCCTTCTGAGTCACTGGGATTACATGCATGCACCACCAGGCTTGGCTTTGATTTTAATTTTGAGACAGGATCTCACTACTTTGCTGAGGCTGGCCTAAAATTTGCAATCCTCCTACTTAGCCTTTCAAGTAGCTGGGATTACAGGCATGTGCCACCTTGCCTAGCTCTAGGAATCTGTTTTGAGGAACTACTTGAAATATCTTTCTGTGTAAAGTTATTTTCAGGATGACTTGTAATTATGAAAATTCAGGAACCTAAATACATAATAACTGGGAAATGGTAAATCAAGAGTGGTACAGTAGTAGGCTGGTATGTTATGTAGCCAATAAAAATGATGTTCATGTAGATTTTTTAAAGCAGAACAATGCATATGTTCCAACTTAAAAATTATATATTTAGTAAATACACATGTGTCATAACAATAAAAAGAGCAAGATACCTAATTATATGGGTGCGTAGTGGCCCTAGTTATGTTAAACAACGGCTCTGGGGAAAAACATAGCAAAATATGAATAGAGCTATTGTTGGGGATATGAATATTGAAAATCTTTGTTTTCTGGTATTTTTAATGTTTTTAATTTTGATCATGTGGACTTTTTATGGAAAATGTGTCCCAAAACTTGCTGTTGACATTACAACCCAAGAAAGGCTGACATAATTGCATAGGCTTATAGCGTTGGCTGGACATAATTTAACGTTTTGGGAGAGGTAAGAGACACACAGGTGTCCAGTCCCTGTTGGAAATGTTTTGTGATGTCAATCAGAGCTCATCCATGCTCTGCAGCCCTGGGGGAAGCTGAGGAACATTCCAGCTCGGCATTCATCTCATTCAGGGCCTGCAAACTGCCCCTGTCCCCCACCCTCTTACCCCAGCCCACCAGCAGAGTCAGTCGTTGTGTCCTCACGTCCCTTTGTTCTTCTGGGGAGCTTAATAGCCGTGAACCCAGCATGGAGGGCCACATTACAAAGCAATGGGGATTCTTTGAAACTGGCACAGATTGAAAATGACACTCCCCCTCCTTCCCTTCTTTGTTTTTTCTCCACAACACTCACTGTCCAAGAAACCACAGTATGCTTTGAAATTTTGCCTCTTAACTCCTGTCCCTGTAGGACCAGATCTTTACAGAGATGCTTAGCTCTTGTTTACTGATATATGTCCAGTGCTCAGAAGCATCTAGAAGTTGCTCAGGAAAGATTTGGTATCCTGATGAGTATGTTACATTGTCCCATAGTCAGGTGTTTAAATGTCTATCAAGGCTTGTGAGCTTCAAGGGCAAAAGGGCTGCTTCCCTAATTTTTTTTTTTTAAATTATCAGCATTTTGTGCAGACATTTTGGGTCTACCCTATGTTAGGAGGCTCAGTATATGTTAAGCACCAGGTTATTAGACTGATGTATTGATTCGGTTCTTCCTGAAGGCCCACTGTGGGTACTGGTCTTGGTAGAACAGGGTTTCTTATTTTGGGATCCAAGGTCTACCTGCATCAGAATTTACCTAGGAGGCAGATTTCACATCCCACTCTAGATCTCCTGAATTAGGGTGTGTTTGTGTGTGTGTGTGTGTTTGGGGAGGACTACTATAACTTCTATTATGTAAAATGTTATTTTTTATAGTAGCTTGGGAATTTGCATTTTCAGTGAGCTCCCCAGGTGATCCTAGTGGACACCAAAACTTTCAGTCCAGTCATTGTTCCAGGCCTTGGAATACAGAGGTTATTCAGGGCTCACAATTCCCGGGCCATGTTGGTCTGTGTGTGTGAGCATATGTGTGAATGTGCTTGGTGTGAGTGTGGATGTATCCATGACTTCTTCATCATTTTTCTTCATAATTGTGTCATCCACATCATGAGAGAAGCAATCATGCTCTGAATGTTAGATTAATGTGTTCCTATATAATAATAATAGAATACTATAACTTCTATTATGTAAAATGTTATTTTTTATAGATTTTTATTTTTTTAGAATTTAAAAAGTTAATTACTTTCACTGTTACTCTTGTTTATCTCTAAAAGTAGCACACTGCTTAATATTAATAACTTATTGTTTTTTATTGCTTTTCCTTCTTTAATTTTGATGCGTAGTCTTTAGGACAACCTCAGGAGGAACAGTGGTGTTATACTTTATTAACTGATGAGAAAACAGACTTTGGCAAAATGGGAGTACCTAGGTTAGACATCTTGGAGGTGTTAGAGTTAGGAGTTGGACCCTTGTCTCTTGGAATCTGTAGTATACAGTTGGCCCTCTGTATCTGTGGGTTTCACTGCTGTGATTTCAACTAACTGCGCATTAAAAGTATTTTAAAAGTGCCAGTAGTATACCTTAGTGGCAAAGTGCTTGCTTAGCATGTGCAAGGCTTTGGATCCTATTCCTAGCACTAGGGAAATAAAGAGATAAGAAGGAAGGAAAGAAGGGGGGGGGAGGAAGGAAGAAATGAAGGAGAGAAGGGAGGAAGGAAGGAGAAATCGTATCTGTATTGAACACAGACATTTATTTGGCAATATAGTGTTACCACTGTTTTCCTAGCATTTCCCTTGTATTAGGTAGTATAAGTTAATCTAGAGATAATTTAAAGTACATAGGTTTTGTGAAAATGTACATAGAGGATGTACATAGGTTCTGTGAAAATCCTATGCTGGGAGGGACTTGAACATCCTTGGGTTTTGGTAGCTCCGGGGGTTCTAGACTCAGTCTTCTCTGGTCACTGAGGGACCACTGTACTGTTCTTTCTGTTCTTTCACATTTAGTGATTCTGTTGGTTCTGAGGCTGGGTTTCCAAAATAGATTTCCCCCCTTGCAGAGTTTCTTCCCAATTATTAAGTCCTGGTCTTATCTCTGAAGTGTGTCTGGCCAAAGGGCGGCACTGACATCATGGGAGAGGCTGCATCACTGTCCCAGTCTGAAAGGCAATTTCACCTCCAGAGAGAAAGTGGCCATTTTGAAGTAGCTGGGCTGTGGGGTGAAAAGGTGGACATGTCCACCCCACACAAGTGCAGCTCCAGAATGCAGCTCCAATCTGGGGTGATTCTCTGTGGCCCTCTGCTGTCCCCCTGACCCAGTCACCAGCATCTGTCACAGGATGGCTCTGGCTTTCCAACTGGCTCCCCATGTGTTCTTGTTCTTGTCCTGCCTCTCCTGCACTGGGAGCATTCTGGAGAGGGAGAGCACATATTCTCTCATCTCACTTCCTGATGCATTCTCACCTCCTCATTCACACACTCCTCTCTTTGCTCTTAGAAAGACCCCTCCACACCTTTAAGGTGGCCTTGAAATCTCATGTGCTGTCCCTGCTGTCTGTTCTAGCCACTGTTAAAGCTTCTTATTGTTCTGTCAGGGACCTCTCCTCCACTCCACTCCTACCTAGTACTTCACCTCTGCACCTATTTCCCTGTTCTGTGCCATGGATTGGCAGACGTTCCCGGTGAAGAACTGGATTGGCTGTTGCGCCATGCTTTGCTGGCCCCTGCTCTGTGCTGTCTGTCATCTTAAATAAGACTGTTTCAGATCATACATTCAGATGATGAACTGATGGCCCCTGTGTGCCCAGCTGGATGACAAGCCGGAATTAAGTCTGTTTTGCCCACTCTTAGTCCACAGCATCTGTGCATAGTCAGTGCTCAGTAAATATTTTTTGGATCGTCATTTGTTCAATAGTTAGTTTCTGGATGTTTGTTTGGTGTCAGGCTCTGTACTGGACAGTGGGGCTTCCCAGACATATCAGACACATCTCTCCCCCTCTGGTGGCTTTCCAATCACTGGGAAGACAGTCTAATAAGGCAGTGACTACAGATGGTACACTAAGGGCCATGTCCAGTGGGCTGTTGATGCTCCGCAGGCTGCCTTGAGGGTATGTGGGTGCACACGCCCTGGTTGGGAATCATGTCCCTTCTCTCTGTGGTTAGACTGCACACCCTCCTGGCCTGAAGATGAGGTACACCTTGCTAATTGTGACAATGGAGAGATTGGGCAACTGGGCTAGATATGGGGGGATGTTGGTTTCTTCCCGAATCAGGATGCTGTGGGAGTGCAGTCTGCTTGGGCCCACCTGTCACCCAGCTTACGATACTTGCCCATCATTCACTGCCTGTCGACGGAGAGGTAGACTGCAGATAGAATGGAGGGGCAGTTGTAAATTTGTGAGCTTTGTAGAAGTTTGCATCTGCTCTCAGAGGAGCAACTGAAGTTGGAAGATTTCTTTCTATGTAACTTGGGGCCCTTTTCTTGGTCCCATTTGGAAAATGGGGCATCTCTTCCGTATCAGCCTTCTCCAGGAATCTAAAAATCAGCATCTTCTTGGAAACAATAGAGAGATTTTGTGAGAGATTTGTCTTAATAGGCCAAGTGCTATCTTTGAATACCATTTGAAATTGACTGTCATTCTGGGGGCTGGGATTGTGGCTGAGCGGTAGAACCCTCGCCTCACATATGCAAGGCCCTGGGTTCGATCCTCAGCACCACATAAAAATAAATAAATAAATAAATAACATAAGGGTACTGTGTCCAACTACAACTAAAAAAAAAAAAATTTATAGAAGAATTCTAGACAGGTTTTGGAAATGTTTGCTTTGAATGCAGCTAGAGTTAGCCGGTTG